GGACCCAACACCACGTAGTGACGCAGCATACCTCAACCTGTGTCCCTGATCTGTCTCTACTCCTAAACCCTAAACCCCTAAACCCTAAACCCTAAACCCTAAACCCTTCAGCATAAACCCGTAATTAACCCGTAAACCTCAACCCTGAAACCCTGAAACCCTAAACCCAAAGCCCTAAACCCAAAACCAATCTTCTGCTTCGGCCGGCGAGCCCCATCACTGACCAAAGTTGCGCCAGCTGCAGCAGCACAGGCGCCTGCATTTTCTGAGTTTGGGGTTTAGGGTTTGGGGGTTTAGGGTTTGGGGGTTTAGGCCATTTTGGCTAAAGGGTTTAGGGTTTAGAGTTTTCGGGTTTAGGGTTTTAGGGTTCAGGGTTTGGGTTTAGCGGTTCCGGGCTTAGGGGTTAGGGCATTGAGAGGTTGAGGGTTTAGGGCTTCGAATCTAGGGGCTGAGGGCTTAGAGGTTAGGGTTTAGGGTTCAGGGTTTAGTTTAGGTAGGGTTTAGGGCTTCGGGTTCAGGGTTTAGGTAGGGTTTAGGGTTTAGGGCGCAGGGTTTAGGATGTTGACATGGTTTTCAGGGAGTTAAACTGCTTCTGCAGGGGTCTGTGATTAGAGTTTTACGAAGTCTTACAGGGTTGGCGGTGTATAGGGGTCTTCTGGATTCGTATAGAAGGCTATAATTCTTAGAGCATATTTTGGGTGGCTTATTCCTAAACATCTGATTTAGAAGTTGAAAGGTTGATTTGGGGTCTGCACGATTTGATTCTCGGAGTCAGATAGAATCTAAGGTCTATGACAGTCTATGATTTGCCGGCGGTTGTTGGAAAGATTGGGAGAGCATAAGCTACAGCGAACCTGAAAAGCTATGCCTGAAGTAGCCGTAGTTGTAAACCTAGAAACCAAAACTCGACTTTGAAGTAACCAAGGAGAACAAACATGGACTTTTTTGTACAACTGTATAATAGTGGTTCACTTACGGAACAGGTCAACAAACGCATTCGACCGAAAAAAACAGAAAAGCAGCTGTGGTGTGAAGAACTGTGGTGAACAACATCCGCATCCTCTCATGGTCTAGGCTCCCCAGTGCCAGTGTCCCCTTAGTAAGCAGCATACCCTTGTTCCTGCTATTAGGTTGCTTTTGGAAACCCCAAATAGAAGAGCAATGGGGTACTACTGGGCAACCTAGAGTAAGATCCCTGTTTGCCTAGGGTTTACGGGGGTCTGAGTGTGCATCATACGCAGCGACGTAGTGTGTCCAGCCAGAAACCCTAAACCCTAAAGCCTAAACCCTAAACCCCATAGGATCATCGGGCGACCTGTTCTTGCCTATCCCCTTTTTCAGACGTATGAAACCCTACATACCCCTAACCCAAGACCCAAAACCCTAGCAACACGCGAAACCCAAAATGCTGACCCGACACCCATTAAACACCAAAAACCATGACACAAGCCTAAACATAAAACCCGATACCCAGAGACAAAAAAAAAAACAACACTAAACCGAAGAAAACCCTATAAACGGAATCCAACCCAAAGCCCCAAAGCCCCAAAACATGCCTAACCAAAGCCTCCAGTTTCAAAACACGAATAAGCAGAGTTGTAAGTACCCCAAAAAGGGACCCTAATTGCGATTATGATACTTAGTGAAGCTCTATATAACATAACAACTACTTACGAAGTCCCCCGACCCTCCAAGTAACCCCAAAGCGCCTAAACCCTAAACCCTAAACCTCTCAAACCCTGGCGCCTGGGTTACGAAAAGGCGGCCGGCGCATTGCGACGTCAGGCCGGGACTAGGAAAGCGGCCCCTGGCAAGGCCCGGCAACGGGGGTCTGGGGTCTGGGGCTTAGGATTTAGGGGTTTTTAACACTAGGTTCGCCAGTAGCACCTTAATAATAAGGGTACCCTTTTTCCTAACATTCGGCTTTAATAAGGAGACCCCCAAATAAAAAGGGCAAAAGGGTACTACTGGGGAACCTAGAACAAGAAAACTATAACAGGATGAGGTTCTGTAGAGATGTTACAAGAAGTTCCTGTTCATAATGCTATCAGGGCTCTTCCGGGAAATGGCTTCCTCGTGGCCCTCCAGCAGGGTTTCATCATCGTCGGTGCTTGAACTACTGGACTTCGAAGTCACCACGGAGAAAATAACAAAGACTTCTATTTCATGATGGCTCTTTTGAGGAACAGGTCAACAAAAACTGCATTCAAGTAAAGTACTCAAGAACCCAAACCCTAAACCTTAAACCCTAAACCCTTAACCCTAAGTTTAGGCTTTTAGGCCCAGGGTTTTGGGGCTTAGGGTTTGGGGTTCAGGGTTTAGGATTTGGGGTTTAGGGTGTTGGGGTTTAGGGTTTAGGGTCTTGGGGTTTTGGGGTTTAGGGTTTAGGGGGGTTTAGGTCCAGGTCTACTTATAACCTAACTGCTAATGGGTAGTTAAAACCTGCTGACTTAGTCCCATGATGCTCGAGGTCTAGGCATCTTCCAGTTCGTTGACCGCAGTAGTAAGTCACAAGGCATAGCCCAAAGGGTCCTAAGTACCTGCATTGTACAAGAAAGTAGGGTTTCTATAGTAGGAAGGAAGTGCTATTATGGTTTGGGTAAGTATTCCCCCTAAAGGTACCTACAAGTACTAAACCCTAAACCCCACCAGCAGCAGCGGCGGCGACGACGACGACGACAATAGCAACAGCAACAACAACAAACAAAACACGTCATGGTCATCATCAACACCATACATAGTACTATGGTTCTGAATCGTCACCAGCCTCGTCATCATCAGCGTCGTCAGCATCATCACCACTGTCATGATCATAATCGTCCTCAACGTCATGAACACCATCATCGCCATCATCACCATCATCACCACCATCGCCATCACCATCTCACCATCACCACCACCACCATCACCATCCCGATCACCATCACAGCGCCTTCGCCATTGCAACAACAGCCACAACAAAAGCCAGAGCAAACAGGAGAGCACTAAACATCGATGGCAAGGGCAAACACGACAAGCGAAACTACAACCCTGAAGCCTTGACACCCATCCCTCAACAGCTTTTCTCTAAACTCCCATACCTTAATGTCCGAAACAGCTTCCAGGGCACCTGCAAGCATAGGCCATGCCAGCCGCGGCGGCTAAGCACAGTACGCCCAGCAGCGCACAGGAGACGAAGCGTATTGACTCCCCGTGCAAGTCCAAGCACTCGGCACAAGCCTCGGCTACTTTGACAACTTCCTGAACCCCGAAGAACCTACCTTTTAAAGGACTTATATAAAGAAATTATAATAAGGAACCCTAACAGGGTAGGTTATTTGGGGTCCAGGTTGAACATGACATAAGACAGGAGCGAACTACAAGAAACTCATCATGACCGGCCAAGTGAACTTCTGTAGGTAGATCTTAGAAGCTGGTACATGGAAACAAGCGGGTTGCACATCCTGAACTACATCCGCGAGGTCATGGGAGAACTCGTCTGCAGAAAAACATCCGAGAGCCCCCGCAGCCACGCAAACCCGGAACCCCAATCTTCAGCCCTACGCCCTGACACATAGCTATAGCATCCCTTGTAATTTTTCTTTTGGCTTAGCCAAGTTGAAACTAAGGTCCTATAAGCTAACCCCCAAAACAGGAACTGCAATGGAGACTACAGGTAAAAACCATAAACGGAAGCCTATAATCCTCAACCACACCCTAAACCCAGGCTCTATAAAGCCTACACCAAAAAAAACACACACACGCCTTGAACCCAAAAGACCCCGAAACCCTGAAACCGTAAACCTTGAACTAATCCTAAACCTAAACCCTGAACCCTATACCCCGAACTTCATGAGACCTCTGAACTTTATCCGTAAATAACTTGCACTGAAACATCTACCCAGGTTGGGACCCAAACTACTAAAGGCTACTTTATCGGAACCCCCCTTAAGGGATCTTTTTTTTGGATCCTCCCGGTGGTCTGGGTAAACTTGTAACGGCCAACTACTGTTGATGATCGACATCCTGCATTACCTTAAGGACCCTAAACTATGGAAATTATGGTATATTCATTATTATGGGTCATGCAGGATTTATATCATCAACCGTAGGACCCTGAGCACGAGGATGCAGCCCAGGCGACGGTGCCAGTGGAGCGGAAGCCCGGAGCACAGTCAACACAAAGTGGGCCGAAGTATCCTGGAAATTTTAAATGTTCGTTCCCTAAACGCCTACACCCTAAACTCTAAACCCCAAATCCTAAATCCCAAACCCTAAACCCCAAACCCTAAACCCAAACCATAAACCCTAAAACCCCAAACCTTGCTTTATTGAAGGTTACGATCTACGATTTAAGGGTAGGGTTGAGGTCTCTAGTGGGAGGGTCAACTCCAACAAGGCCTTCTAGGACACTGGCAACTCGATGTCTACAACTACTTACTTTCTAAACCCTAAACCCTGAACCCCAAACCCTAAATCCTAAACTCCTACACCCTAAACTCCTAAACCCGAAGCCCCGGACCACGGAAGTAGGGTTTCAATCTCTTTGAACGTTTAGGGTTTAGGGTTTAGGGGGGCCTTAACCGTTACCTGGGCCCTGTAGAGCCTACGCTTTTAGGGCTCCTTAGTACGGAGTTCCACATGTAATGAAGCCCCTAAAAAAACAAGGCAGGCCCAGGTAACTCATCTGGGGGTACACCTGGGGAACAGAAAACCCTAAACCCTAAATCCTAAACCCTACACCCTAAACCCTAAACTCTAAACCCCACACCCTAAACCCTCAACCCTAAACCCTTCAGGATCTTCGGGATTTGGGTTTAAGGATACAGTCCATGCAAAAACAGAAAGTACAAGATTCAGAACACCAGCTTTCTCAAAACAGCTATATTTCTCGTAGCACCCTACCTGGACCACAAAAGTATGTAGAATAATTGCCTTTTTATGGGTTTTGGGCCATTATTTTACCCACTTTGGGTGGTTTAGGTAAGCCCTAAACCCTAAACTCAGGATGATCCCGGGTCCGGTTGCACAGTCAGGCGCACCGGGGCAGCGAGATGCATGCCTGGACTCTCACTCAGGCAAAAAGGGGCGTGGGATTTAGGGCTTTGGAGTCTACGGGTTTAGGGTTTAGGGTTTGGGTTTAGGATTGAGGGTTGCTTTAAGGCTTTGGGAACAAGAACTTTTTGGGGTGTCGGGTTCCAGCTAGAAGTGTGCCAGAGCCCTAAACCCTAAACCCTAAACCCTAGAGTAAGGCCTGCTCAGAGCATGTCACAAGGCTGTGTGTTGCAGGGGCCCTTGTCCAGCTTTTAACCTCTGACATGATGAGGGCTTTAAAGGTTTAGGGTTTAGGGTTTAGGGTTTAGGGTTTAGTTCAGGATTTTGGGTTTAGGGTTTAGCCCCTGTTGTCCCCTTAATATAGGAGTACGTTAAAACGCAAAGGGCAAAAGGGTGCTACTGGAGAGCTTGGTAGAGTTTTGGCGAAGACTTCTGGAATTAGTTTTAATTAGGGTTTAGGGTTTAAGGTTCTCGGGTTTTAGGGTTTCGGGTAATAAATGCAAGTTAACACAGCAGGATGTTCTGCGACCTAAACACTACACCCTACCTTTAAAGGGGGGTCCTTAGAGGAACCTTAAACCCAAAAACCTAAACCCTTCAGGAACTCTCTGCAGAACCCGGATGCAAGCATCGGAAGACGCCGGCCGTCGCAAGCCGCGCGTAGCCAGACTCGGGAAAAGCCTCCTTCAAGGGTGTAAGGTTTAGGGTAGGTTCAAGCGCCCTAAACCCTAGAAGCTAAACCCCAAACCCCAAACCCTAGGCCCTAAACCCCAAACCCTAAACCCTAAAACCTAAAACCCGGGCTGTAATGCGAGAAAAGTTGCAGGTTTAAGGTTGAGGCCTGTGTCTTGGGACCTGAGGATGTTTTGGTCCTTTTCTGGCTTTAGGCTCCCAGGGTTTGGGGTATAGGGTTGAGGGTTTAGGGTAAAGTTGGGGGGACGCTCCTTTGATTGCCTGCCCGAGTCGGCTCCCAACCAGCGCCTATTGGCACTGATACACAAGATACATTGACATGAAATTTTAGGGTTTAGGGTTCTAAGGTGCAGAGTTTAGAATTGAGTTTCAGGGACTTGGGGGTTAAACTTGCTCCATGTTGAACTAAAAGGTGTGCGGGGCTGTGGGTGTAGATGTTAAAGTCTTCGGTTTGCATTGGTTCGGTAGTCAATTTTGGGGCTTAAACCCTATACCCTAAACCCTCAACAGTAAAACCCCTACCCTAAATCACCAAACCCTAAACCCGAAACCCTAAACTTTAAGTCCCTAAACCCTAAACCCTTGAACCCTAAACCCTAAAGCCCCCAAAAAAGGAGCCCTTATAGTGCCCTTTAAAGGACCCCTAAACCCTAAACCCCTAAATCCGAAACCCCAAACCGTAGCACCGGACTTACTGTCTCTTGGAGATTCTTGGGGAGCGTTGGGGACCTGGTGCAAGTCGGTTTAGGGTTTAGGGTTTAGGGGTTTAGGGGTTTAGGGACTTAGGGGGTTAGGGGTTTAGGGGTTTAGGGTTTAGGGACTTAGGGTTTAGGGGTTTAGGGACTTAGGGGTTTGGGGGTTTAGGGGTTTAGGGGTTTAGGGGTTTAGGGACTTAGGGGTTTAGGGGTTTGGGGGGTTTAGGGGTTTAGGGGTTTAGGGGTTTAGGGTTTGGGAGGAAAGTGGTCCGAAGGTTTCAGAAACGTTGGTTGTCTAGGCCACACAGGGTTTTAGGGGTTAGGGTTCCGGAAGAATTACCAATGATAGCCCAGTGTGGCGGCTCATGTATAACTTTTATACACAATCCCCCCCCCCAAGTCCAATGTCCAATTTTAGCGTTTCCCTGTTTAGGACAATGGCTTCTTATACAGGGGTGTCCAACCGGTTTGTTACTTCCGCAAAAAAAGAAAAGCAGAAATGGTTTCTTAGGCTTATAGAAGGCTGAGGATTGTAGTCATTTTCTGTCCTGGTGACCCTGAACCCTAAACCCTAACCCCTAATCCCTAAACCCTAAACCCCTAAACCCTAAAACCCTAAACCCCTAAACCCTAAGCCCTGAGCGGTTTGCAAGAATACCTCCCTCAGGTTCCCCCAAGTCTGGCATAGCCCGAAACCTTGCTCTGACTCCGACAGTCTCTTATACAATCTTATACAGCATTACCCATAGGCCCCTAAGTAGTTCTTTTTGGGATTGCCTTATAGGGTTCTAAATATAAACCATAAAAACGAACTACTTAGGGGCCTATGGGTAGCTCCAACTTCGATAGTTGCGGCAAGTAATTTCTGTATGAAACAGTGTGGCTGGGTCCAGAATACATGCAAGGGCACCTTAGCAGATGTCCCCAATCGTGTTTAGTCCGCCGTGAGCAACATGAACTCCAGCTTCGATAGTTGCGGCAAGTCGCTTCTGTAATGCAAGGGCGCCACTATACCCAAAAAGCAGCATGCATGTCACCAGGACTGCTAGAGGACGGGACGCTCTGGCCAAGAAACTGCATGCTGCCTTTCGTAATCGTTTTCAGAAGGGCACATCGGTCTAGGGGAGCACGAGTCGTGAATCAGATGGCCCCGGCAGCTCAAGACAGTTGTAGCAGGTGTCCCTATTCTGTTTAGTCCGCCCCGGGAGCATCACCAGGATGAAAGCTTCGTCGTATGTTCATGTTTTTTTTGTTGGGGTGCTTAGCTTAGGCTCACACTTTGGACGATCGTGCTACTACTCTCATTCTTTGGTTAGGGTTGTGATTACCCTTCTCATTGCGCTTGCTCGTATTGAAGTTATGTTCCATCTTATTCCAGCTTTGGTCTTGCTCGCTATCAAACTTTCTCCCTTGTCACGATACCCTCAACACTAAACCCAGAAATCCTGAACCTTAAACTCTACCCCTACGTATATTAAGCCCCCAACGCCACACCACAAAGAAGTCGCCCTAAACCCTTAACCTGACCCTAAACACCTCGGCGATGTGGCCGGTGCCATTGCACTGCAAATGGAGCTTGCTGCATGGAGCCTCAGCTCTTGTTTGGGGAAGCTGGCAACCCTAAACACTAAACCCTAAGCCCGTAAACCCCTAAACCCTAAACACTAAAGATTTCACTATGGTTCCTATAGCGATTCTTTGGATTCCTGTAGGGCTACTTTAGGCAATTCTATGGGTCTTGTAGAATCGCTAGGGCACAGGACTTTAAGTAAGGTTTAGAGTTCGGGTTTGGGGTTTAGGGTTTAAGTTCTGACGTGGTCAACGTGCGACAGGTTCGCTTGATTCACTTCTCTGACAGACTGATGTCCGCGAAGCATACGGGTGCGTTAATAGATAGCATACAGTTTAGAGACACATTATTATGGTTTTGCTAAGGAATTGTATTCATAATTATTCAGGCTTCTGTATTGGGGGCGCTGGTCTTGCAGGAGCTTAGTCTTGCGGACAATGTAAGCTTGACTTACCCATGATACAACCCTAAACCCTAAACCCTAAACCCAGCGTGGCATGAAGATCCGGAGGTGTTGGAGAACGTCAGCTTACGTCACCGTCATGTGAACGTCTCTACCGGAAGCCTACGTAGCCTTTACATGATGGTTAGGGTTTAGGGTTTAGGGTTTAGGGACACCATGAAATATTCCGGGGTTAGAACCCTAAACCCTAAACCCCTAAACTAGGCGCTTGCTGAACACGAACCCAGGAGCGCACGCCCCATGCGAAAGCGCGGTGTGCCTGCCACAAACCTTGGTTGACTTCGGGACTCGGGACAAGTCATGTTTAGCAACCTCACTATGTGGATCGTTCTCTCAACTAGGGTCCCGTTTTGGGTACCTAAAGTAGTGTGGCACCCTTATAGAAAGGACCCGAAAGAGACCATAATTTAGAAAACTACCTATGTGTACTACAGAGACACAAAAACCCCAAAAAAGTAAATCGTTCGGCCTAATTCTTCTGAGAAGCCGCTGACACCCCCAAGATAAGCCCTATCAATCCCATCTTGGCCCAGAAACACACGTTTGGGTGACCTTTTCATGGCTTAGGGCTTAGGGCTGAGGTTTAACATCTGCAACTCCAAATAGGTAATTCTCTAAAGTAGGGTCCCATTTTGGGGTCCTTTTTATAAGGGTGCCGTACTATATTGGGGACCTAAAAAGGGACCCTAATTTAGAGGACTACCCAAATAACAAAATAGCGGAGCCAAGCAACACATTGCCGGCGACCGTTTTGGAGCTTGGGCTTTCCAAAGTCACAGTCACAAGAATCCAGAGACGATGCTGCTGCTTGGGAATGACTGTGCGCAGGGCCTTCGTGGTCTTAAGCGCTTTAGGATCTCGGGTTTGGGGTTCAGGGTTTGGGGCCTAAGGGTTAAGGGATAGAAATTCATGGCACCCGAAAACTCTAGATTGATCTATATTCAGGTCTAATGGTCTAGGCTCACCAGTAAGACCTTAATAATACGGGTACCGTTTTCCCTAATGTTCGATTTTAATAAGGAGACCCAAACCAAAAAGAGTAAAAGGGTACTACTCAGGAACCTAGTGGTTAATACATTTAGGGCAGGGACCTTTACAAAAACCACTAAGGCACTGAGCCCCTGGCACGCTTGACACACCTCTTGCCCGTCACTGTCTGAGAAGGTATCTTCTGGACAAGGTTTGCACGACGTTCCTGTGCCAAAATAGCCTGCTCGGCAAACGCACATCTCCGAGGGCATGAATCCTCAGCTGTCCAGTATCCTAGGGCACCGAAAAGTATCTTGTGGGATTATATAGGGATCATGCTAGCCCAAAAAAGATATATAGGGGCTCCCTACTCCATAACGAAGACTCTGTCTGGGGTGACCTTCAGCGTCGACGCAGCGAACTGTGAGCAAACGTAGCCGCCTGTTTCGTTGACGAAGGACCTCTGGCATCCAGAGTTTTAGGGTTGTTTTTTGGGGTTTGGGGTTTTAATTAGGGTTTAGGATTTAGGGTCTTGGGTATTGGGATTAGGGTTCCAAACGTGGTTTTATAATACCTGGGTTTGGGTTGGGACAGTAGCCAACGGCTCCAACAGCCCAGGGCGTAATTTCGCATCTCGCGTTTTATAGGGGGGCTTCCGTATTCTGTCTATACTCTTCTAGTCCCCAAACCCTATCCTGATTGTTAAGGCTGCTGTAGTATTGAAGGTTACTGCTATAATGCAAGGAAGCTTTCTTACTTAAAAGGTTTGTACCGTCGCGACCCTGCAGAATTGCCGTGGGATAACGCTTAGGCGATAGTGTCTTGCGACAAGGCTGTGTCGAGTGCATCGTGCTGTGGCGACGAGCTGCGAACACCTGTCTATAGTGGGCTTTTTCCTTTCTTCTTTGCCACTAGCCAGGGCGGGCAGGGCAGAGAGGGCAAAACAGGGGCAAATCAAAAAAGTGCTACAGTCCCCGTGGCTGTGGAGAGGTGGGCTGGAGTATCGGTTGCAAGCGGCTTAAGCGCCGCCCACCCCACATTAGGTGGGCGGCCTATGCCTAGAGTTTAGTGTTTAGGGTTTAGGGAGCAACTAGACGATAAGCAAGCTTTCGACTGCACCCCACCTGTCTGGCTCTAGCGGGAGCTGCTTCGTCAGAAATGGCCGGACCTCCTCAACGTTGGCAAGCTCCGTGTGTGTTAGGTCGACTTCCAAGTCAGTTCTTGTGGCATATTCGAGGGCCTAGGCTCACCAGTAAGACCTTAACAATAGGGGTACCCTTTTCCCTAACATTCGGTTTTAATAAGGAGACCCCGAAATAAAAAGGGCAAAGGGGTCCTAAACTCTAAACCTTAACCCGAAACCCTAAACCCTGAATACTACTCAGGAACCTAGGGGCTGATGGGGAGACGCGCACAGGGCCCAAGTTCCTGCTGAGGTCCATGCGCAAGCGGGCAGGAAGGAATTGGAGATCAGTGACGTTGTTGCCTGGGATTCATCCCTTCCCGCTTTTCTCAAACACCCCCTAAATGATAACAACACTTTCCTTGAAATCCTCCTGAAATCATGCTCGCCTTTTGAAGGAGATTCAGTGACACTAGAGATAAGCCCCCCAAGAATAACGGCACTTTTAAAGTTGCTGTTAGGGTTGGGCCGTGTAAATTAGGGGAGAAGGGACGATGGTTCAGCCACTTCCGATAATCCCTAGCCAGCAGGGCCCAGTTGCCCGCAAGCTCCAGCGTCTGCAGGGTCTGGCTCAGCACCATGTGCTTGATACCCAACCTGTGGTCCAAAAAAACCCTACCCTTCAAAGGCTTATAGGGTTTAGGGTTTAGGGCTTAGCTTATCTATAGAAGGCCTTAAAAAGGAACCCTGAAACGGTAGGTTCTGTCGGCTACAGGAACTTCTTGTCACTGGAGCTGACCGTGGCTAATCGCGGAACGGCTCCGCGGACACTGCAGTTGTTGGCTACCAGGGTTGAGATGGGGACATCCGCCAGCCTTATTTCGATGTGGGCCCTCGTCAAAACAAGGCTTAACTTTCAACACAATACTAAAGTTAAGTTTCAGACTGCAGCCGTATGCTAAACATGTAAGAGTCCAGCAAAGTCAAAGGTTGTAAGTGGAGGAACAAGTGGCGAATACAGAAGCTGAGATACCGAGGCGTTCAGAGACGTGTTGCTGACCTCAGGTGGCTCTCGCCCCTTCTTTCTCAGCTCAAGCGAGCCAGGGTTTCGGGTTTAGGGGAGGTTCATAGATAGTTATAAGTGGGGCTACAAGCAGGATAACTGTAGTTATGACCCATATTGGGGGGACTTATAACCCCGCCTATAACCCATTGTGTTGTGAGGCCCGGACATCAAGCTTGTGGAGTTTGGGAAGCAGGTCTGCGTTCGCATAAATGTTGTTGCCGGCGGCATCCACCTCGTCGTCCAGGATGATGCTGATGTGGCTGCCCTTGGCACAAGGAAAGCTGAGCCCTAAACCCTAAACCCCTAATTAAACCCCAAACCCTAAGCCCTGCTGCTACAGAAAAAACGGTCGGGTGGCGTTTAGGGTTTGGGGTTTAGGGTTTCGGGTTTAGGGGGCACGACCATGTTCTGAGGGTGCCACCGCCAGGTTTATCTCGAGCAGATTCTCGCAGCACTCATCCATGCTCGCCACCCAGCCGGTGACCGCAGTTCCGGATAAGTCGAGCTGTTGAAGTGCAGTGAAGCCATTGACTTGCAGAGTGCCCGCAACGCGACTGTGAGCAAGGGATACCTGAAATCTGGCTAAGGAACCTACTTGAAGTTACCATAACAGGGACCTTTGGTAAACAATAGGGCTTCCTTAATACGGCAACTTCAATAACTTTCTCAATATGGTAACTTACTTTAAGTTACCATAATAGTAAACACTAGGGTTTCCTTACTGTCGTAACTTAAGTTAGGCTCCTTGAACAAATAACCAAGATAGGTAGTTCTCTAAATTCGCCTCGGCCCCGGCCGAAGCGGTCAGAGGTTCCTATTCGGATTCCCTCTATTCCCCACCTCTTAATCCCCTCCCCACTGACCCCCACCCCGCAAAAACACCATTGTGGGGGTGTCCCTCTGTGTGAACCCATAAATGAGCCCCAAGGTCCGGCGGTGAAGTTTCGCTGCCTCCAATGGATTTGGGCTGTCTGTGGGAGGGGAGCACCAAAATCCTGGTGCCTTGGCCTCCCCCCCCCCCCTCCCCCCCTTGCGGGTGCTGTCACACTATAACTATATATATATATATATAGTTACAAAAAAAAGTTTGTCTATGCACAAACCCTATCACTCTTCACCCCGCAGACGCTGCACCCCGATATCCTGCGAAAGCAAAAGCCCCAGACCTGGCATCATGTCTTCCTCCCAACATACGGCCGGGCCGAGGCGGACGACGCGCAGC